ACTTGGTAGTCCAGGCTGGCCTCGAACTCACAGAGATCCACCTGCCTCTGCCTCCCGAGTGCTGGGATTAAAGGCGTGCGCCACCACCGCCCGGCCCAAGACTTCATTTCTTATGAGTAATCTGATTTTAAAATTGATATCCAATACAAATTTTTATAAAACATACCAGATTAAATCAACAGCAATAACCAATGGAGGAAAGAGTGTCAAGGCAGGTAAGAGGATGTTCATGTGGTCCCAGGCCAAAGCAACAGTGTCCCCCTTCCCTCTGAACCGATAAAGTCATGCTTCCAAGAACCTGTGATTCCCACACAGTGTGACTCCCTCTGCTTTCTCTCACTCAGCTTTATACCCCCAATTCCCTTTATCTTTCTACAAATTTTTCATTTTAGGACTGCCACACACACACACAAAAGTTTCTAAAATATTTGTTTTAGTCCAAACAGGTAAACTATAGAAGCAAGGTAATACTCAGGGATAAAGGTTCCTACTATCAGAATTAAGTAGAAATTTTTTAAAAAGTTAAATACATCAAACAGAAAAGTCTATGAATCATCTTTTATCACATATATATGCCCATATTAGAATGGAAGAGAAAACAGAGTTGTAGACACATTTTTTCCAGTATATAGCACATGCTATAAATCTTGGAATAAAAAGAAAAAATCATAGTTGGGATGGTGAGATGGCCCAGCAGTTAAAAATGATTATTACCAAGCCTGAAACCCTGAGTTTGGTCTCAGGAACTCATAGGGTAAAAGGAGAGATTCAACTCACACAAGTTGTGCTCTGACAACCATACAAACATGCCCACACACATACACACAGAGATGCACATGTAAAATAAATAAATGTCAAAAATCACAGCTCACATGTATTGAGTGCTTGGGTATCACCACATGGAGTAATGTACTATCCAAAGAACTGGAGGAGGAAAGGGTGAAATTGAGAAGACGTAAATCATGACCCAAGGAAGGCCATAGAGATTTTAAAGAATTCTAAGACCTTTGCAACTTTCTAATTCTGGTTTTAGTTTTTATTGTATTTATAAATGTCTTGAAACAAGAAAGTCTGTGTAATGGTGATCATCAGCCTAGATAAAGGGAAACAGAAGAGCACTGTGCTGACTTTTCCCTTGGCTGCATTTCCATAGTGGTATAAGGGTGATGTCAGGGAAGAAATCCTCAAGGGAGAGAATAAATGGAGATAGAAGAAAAAGGAGAGTGAAATGAAGATCCAGAAGGATCCAGCCAAGGATCACATGGGACTGCAGGGTAGAAATGTGTGTTTGTCTTCTGTTTGGATTAAAATTAAAATGAAATCTTTGAGGAGTTCTAGAAAGAGCTGCAACACAGTTGTTTTTAATATGTAAGTGAGCTAAACAGAGCACACTTATTCACTACCACATTTCTACTTATTCCTACGATCTGCTCTCTTTCCTCCAAAACCCTTTGAAGCTGGAAGCTGGTCCTTTGTGGACGTCTGCCCTGGAAGGAAAAGCCCCTTTTGTCCTGACTCTATTTCTTTCTCTTATATTTGTGGAGAGTGACAGAAACCTTCTTCTGTAGTGGTGGTGATGGCCATGTGTTTTGAGGTGTGCAGAATGAAGAATTATTCCATGTTTGCCTAAGGGAAAACTGAGACTACTGACCTTTGTAACCTCTACAACAGCACAATGATGGGAGGTACTTTGGGGGACCCAGTGCATTAGTGCATAAATAAAGGAATGGATGGCTGGTTCTTGACTTCTGCTACAGTGTCCCGCAGCGCCTGGACGAGGAACCAAAGGCTCAGAGGACAAATGTGTGGTGGTGGTGGTGGTTCTGATCAAGTGCATGTACAAGCTTATGTAGCCTTTAGTTCTCTTTCCTCTTCCCTTCCTGATTTCCCACCTCAAATTCTGTTATCTCAGGCACTGGAGAAATGTGAGCTAGCATGGGACCTGATACTCAGCCTGGACATGGTGAAGGTGTGGGGCGTGGGAAAAAAGAAGGGAGGTCAAAAGGAGGAGGTCATTCCACCAGACCCCAGACCTGCTGTAGAGGTGAGGAATGATTAGTCTCACTCAGAAACTATTCAGGTGACATTCTGAGAAGTTCTTTAGTATAAAAAGACAATGATGTTATACACCAAAAAGTAGTTCTAAGCATTTTTTCCTTCTCCATTAGACTAAATGAGTGCTAAAATTTTATCTTGAGGTTAATTTGATTATTCCACAATAACAGGAAATTACTTAGAGAATTATCTTTTCCATTGAAAATAGAAATCTGTGTTATAAAAAAAACACAGGACTTTTATGTTATATATAGTTTATAACATATTTTTGAGTATGCTATTCATAAAAAAACTTGGAAAGAAGATAAAGATTGGGATTATATGTAATTACACAAATGTCTATATCTATAAATGTAAGTATAGACCCAAATATCTATCCTTATATGCTATGTGCATTGGATAAATATGCTTCTCATTGGAAATATATTTCAAAGTCCAAAGTTCAACACTTGTGGACATGAAAGGTTGTCTCAACAAAGTCCATATACTTTTATTCTAAAGACTGTTAATTTTTGAGGGAGCAGATTATCCATTTCAAGCTCCGGTGAGTGCAAAATTCAGAGGATAATTTTTAATATATTGGATTAAATGGGTCAGAGAACTAGCCCAGGACTCATTAGATCTGGGTTGAAGGAAATGTGTCCTCTCAAACACTGAGGTGATAGTCTGGCTTAAAATAAATTTAAACTTGAACTTATTTTGAAAAAAGTGATAATAAGGGCATACATTTTAATAGCCCAGGAAAAATCTTGTGCTGTGGGGAGTAGAAATACAAGCTAAATATTAAAATGTCGACACAAGAACACTGCCTTCATCAGGTTCATCTGCATTTGCTTTCTAATTCTGTGAAAGTCCCACGAACATTTTGAACTCTTCAATCATTTTTTGTGTGTTTCCATTTTAAAGGCAACAGATAATTCAGGACTCACATGCTCTTCGGCTGAAGGTGTGTCATTAGCCCCCTTAGGGTCAGTCACTTTTAACCACCGGTACTTCCCAACTCTTATCTGGATCCTACAGTACAGGATCTGTTATTGTTGCATCATGTGTCCCAGAGCCTACAGTACAGGATCTGTTATTGTTGCTTCACATTTCTGCTTTAGAAGCTCAAGTTGCTATTCATAAGAATTTTCGTAATAAGAAAGGGTTCATTATCCATTGATAATATTAAAATTGAAACTAGTTTCAAAATCAGTGCATAAAGTCTTTCAAGTCTCAGTCAAGTGCCATTTCTGCCAGCCCGAGTCTTTCTGCACACACACACACACGCACCAAACCAGTTTATCTTGATAGTGCTTGCTTAACTACACCAGGCCTCCTAACTTAATTGTTAATTGCTACCACATATAGAACAAGAATTTTACTTTTCCTATATGGCTATTCCTGAGATTTCTATTCTGAACGTCTTCCTTAAATTTTTGGAAGCACTATTTAGTGATTTCAAAGCCTCCGTAGGTTCTTTTTTTAACTTTTCTATTCTTACTCATTATTTTTACTTGCCACTAGGCAAATCTAGTAATAGAAAACAATGCAAGTTAAAAATGTTGTCTTGAAAGGCCTATCAAAGCTTGTCTTCTGCATGTATTTTTGGGGGTGGTGGGAGTGATGCAGAATAGCTCCTAGGTTTTTCTGTTGCTGAAATAACACTGTAAATCTCTTCCTACCCTTAACTCTTCAGTATTTCTGGTCTTGCACATAACACAACTGTGAACTTATACATCTTCTTAGAAATAACAGGCTTCCTTTGGAAAGTAAGCACTTCGGAAATGTTCACCCATTTGAGTTCACACATTGGTGCATTTTCCAGGCGATGCTAGGCAGACTGAGTGAATCAGGAAATTTCTTACCTCTTGAGGGACGTAAGACAATGCATATCACCAGTAAAGCAAGCGCAGCCAAGGTGGCAACTCCAAAGACAGTTTTCAGCCATGTCTACACAGAATACAGAAAATTAGACGCAGGCTTAGTTCCTACTAAGACATGGTAAGATTTCTGTCGAGCTCTAGCTTCTACTTCTCCTTCCCTACAAAGCTCGTGATTGTGTTCCACTGATCTGGCGGTAATTGCTGGAACCCTTCCAGTTCTGCTAAAACAAATGTTTCTACAGTATATTTAGAGCCACTTTCCAATCCTCACACACACCAGGAAGCGGTACTCACACACAAATCCTCACCTTCTCTAAACAATAGAAAACTCGGACAATCCTCAGCCCGGGCTGCCTCGACTTTGTGGTAATCCCCGAGACCACACGCACTAACCTTCATTTTTCCAGATGTTTTTCAAAGTTAGCTGATTCTCACTGCACCGCGTGGGTCACTGCATCTGTGAAAACTGTTGAAAAGAAGCAAGTCTGTCTTCCAGTTGGAAGCTGAAGTCGGGACGTGAGGCTTTTTTTTTTCCCCCCTTTCCATGGACTTTTGACTACTGTGCCAAATTTCGAAAGATTTCTGTAAAATTAGAAACAGATTTTGGGGGCGTTCTTGGCCTTTAAATGAACTATGAGTGGCTCAAGGGAGGCTTTATAGCCCTCTCGTCCTTGTAAATTCTACACCAACATCTGCTTATGTTGTCATACAGAGGTTGTTTTAGTTCTTTTTTTTTTTTTTTTTGGTGTTCAGGTTTGTGTTTCATTTTCTCCTAGGAATCACTCGAGTCACTTTGGTAACAATCTTTTCTATACGCCTCCCATTTGCGGCTGAAAGGAGGAATTTCAAATAAAGAAACTTTCTGATACGTGCATCACACATATCTAATTTTTAGGAAGGGAAGAACATTGGAGCCAAATACGGCTTTGTGAGAAGTACATGGTATAACTGCACACTTTTCTCCTAGGAGCCTAGGAGGTGCAGCAGACAGAAATGTTTTTCTTTCAGCACAATTTCTTTGTCCATATAGCACCATATGCACTTTCAGTAAATACAGAAGTTTAAAAATTCAACTGTCTAAACCCACGGCTGCTTTCCTTTAAAGAAATGAAGCGCCATCTGTTGAAATGTAGTATGGGTTAGGTGTGTTTGCACAGGCTAGAAAGACGGAAAGATCAGTGGGAATAATTTACCAGCAGACCTTTGGAAGAATGGAAATGGCTTTACAAGAGTGATATTTTTGCTTTGCTCTCAGAATATCTTCTGAGAAAGGAGAACATTTAGTAATTATAAAGACCTTAAAATAAATTTTAAAAAGGCAAGTGGAGAGTAGTCATGTGTACTTCATTTTGGCTAAGTCCACATATTTCAAAGTGATCGGTCATCTTGGCATATCAGTAAAATGACTGATGGAATTCACACACACACACACACACACACACACACACACACACACACACA